ACAATGTACACTTGAAACAATGAGTACAGATATTCAAGATGGACAACATACAATTAAACGTAATCAGGAATTWATGTTGGAAAAATTATCTTCCATACAAAACAATCAGGTTACTAAAGACAAATCAGGTACGTATGAAAGATCAAGGTTAGTTGGAACCAAATCCCGGTACGAGACGAGGTTCAAAACGCCACGATCATCAATTCCCTTTCGATTCAGATCAGACCACTCCCTGATATCGTACACAGGGGTGTAGCCAGGATTCTCCGAAGGAGGGTGAGAGCAATTTCATAAAGCCGCCATTTTATTTGGGTCCGAACCCCGCCCCCATAAAAAAAGACCGGGATTACTTTTAATATTGCACAATTTAGTAGAAAAATTAAAATGACTGTCAGTAAATTCTAAAACGCCGCCATTTTTTTGCCATGAAGGGGGCCATAGTCCCTTCGGTCCTCCTGTCTACTCCCTTGGTACACCCCCACTAGGGTAGGAGGGTAGGCAACCTCCGTTTTCGCGGTTTTAATTAAATTCGCATTTTGTGACGACTCGAGTGACGTAATTAGCCATGCATACATATAAGGCAGATAAGCAAAATATAGCAAAAAATGTATGTCAAAGTTAATGACGTGTGAAGCGTCTAGTTGCATACGGAAGTGCATACGGGATGAACTACTTCGACGATACGGCAGCAATGTTGAATCGTATGGCACTATGGGGCGTCCAGGGGGTAAATAAAGCTTTGTTACAGAAATAATGACGTCGATTGATAATAACAGCTTACTACAAGAGAGCAAGAGAAGAGAAGACAACAAAAGATGAATTAAGACGGCACATCGATCACCTTTACCCATAAAAGAAAGACAAACACACGAAAATCTATATATTTTCCGACATCTTTGTTTTGTTTTGTCCCCTGGTAAGATGGCCGCCGTATCGTCCATTACGTAAAATTCTTAGTGGAGGGGAAAAAAACGTTTTCAGGTGGTTCCGAGAGTGATCACTGTACTTAAACTAGGCACCCCTATTTTCGAACTGCTCCGCCACCTCTGTTCAAAGTTGCCTGCTGGCAATCAAACTTTGGCCCAGTTTAAACAAAGGTAGTACTGACTGACAAGCTGGGCCTTTGTGGTATCATATTATAAGGAAATGTAACTGGCTTAATCCAAAATCTAACCACACAGAGCGAAAAAGGTACTACTTTTCAAAAGTCAGATGAGATTACTTTATTTCGCATTTTGACAATTTTATTTAGGTTTTTAGTAAGGATCGCCATACATTTCCTTAGCATTTAATTCGGCACTTGAAATTCGACGTTTAAACTGGGCCTTGGTAGTAAACAGAGTCACTCTCTGGTTGTTGGTAATTGGTATATATCTGTTCCTTACACCCTTAAACAAATGCCGTACAAACAAGGTGAACTACAAAAATATTGGAACTATAATCCAATGATGAACCATATTAGTACACAAGCAAGGTGTGAAG